GCGAAATTCATTTGCTTGAAGCTCAAAAAAGTAAATGACAGACTCTCGAATACCGTTAAGGATTTGGATGAATTTTCTTAAAGTATTCAGAACATTGGGCTGGTGGGGACGGAACTGTCGGTGAGTTTCGATGTACAATCCATGTACATAAACATCTCAGGTGAGAAGACGGAAAGCGCCTTGCTGGAGATATTGGAGCGAGAAGAGGACATCTTGGAGGAAGAACGGATACGGAAAGAATCGTTGACACGATTGATAAACCTGACAGTAAGGACCACATATTTTACATTTTACGGCAGTATCTACGAGCAAATATTGGGACTACCGATGGGACCTCCATCTCATCTCTTTTGTCAAATGTATACATAGACAAATTGGAAAGTAAATTCGAGAAGCTACTACTGCAACCAAAAATGCTTATGCGAAAAGGTCGACAAGCTGGATTGCTCGAGAGACTATAGCATCAAATGCGGCAAATGTGAGCGGAAGTAAATTGGTGAAACAGGAAAAAAAATCAGCTTACGAATTAAGGAATACAAAAGACTCTGCAGAAGCATGGACGCTGAAAGATCCGAAATAGCGGAACATATCGCACGTACGGGACATGAAATCGAGTGGAAATCGACAAAAAAGGCTGGCTGCATAAGGTGAAAGTAGAAGAAGAGGCAAGATACGAGAAGCCATCGACATTCTGACTGAAAGAAATCTAATTAACAGGAGACTTGAAGTAGACAGGGTTAGCGAAAACTTTGCATACTGCCTAAACAAACTCTGAGAAAATCAGGGAACAGGAATATCAACAAAACGGTAGTATTTTTAAATTTAGGAAAAGAGATTACAAGGAAACCAAGAAAAGACGTCTACAGTGAGCCCATCCAAATAAAGTAGAACCATCACATTTGAGGGTTGGTGCGCAATAGAAAGTCATAGAAGAGCGAGAGAAGCAGTAATGACCATTTCTAGTGGGCTATTAGTAGATAAGTTTGCTCATAGACGAGCTCCATGAAATAAAGGATTGACCACGAAGTTTACTCAGTGCACATGCCGAACAGCTTCAAGGGAATATGCAGCGTCAAGTTAGGTTGCCATGTCAAATGAGAATCCAGACTTTTGGTGCTTGCTCAGTGAGGCTGGTGTATGCGTTCTATCAAAGGCTTGAGGCATAGCGTAGAACAACGTCTTGAAAGTAGCATGGATACGGTGGCAGCGATGGTGTGAAATCACCGAAAAAGGCAGAAAAGGGAAAGATCGTACGGAGTAAAAGGGGAATTTGATAGGACCCGAAGAGAGAGGATTGCGGATTAAACCGCGGCCTTGGATCAACACTCTCGGTACAGTGGGAGGGATGAGGAAACCAGTCGGGAGTGTGAATAGATTTCAAATAGGTCTAGATAAACAAGTAAGAAATTGTGATATTGAAGGTGTGATACGAGGCTATAGGATAGATGAATAGCCCAGGACAGAATGAGAGATACCACAATTATTTTGCACACATTTAGTCAAAGAATCGACTTCGCTTGTTCCTTGACGAGTTGTAGTGTGGTGCTAAAACTGGGAAGGCTCACTGACGATGTTGACCACGATCCTGGCGAAACGTCTGGGAATGTATCAAGTCCACGGTCCGATTTGGGAAATTATCATGCATACTATCGACTCCGGACTAGGTGCGTTCCTCTAAGTCTTCCTACCAATATGACCAAGTTGCGAAAACTAGGTCAAACAGCTTCTAAACTTCGATTAATTTACTTATATTCAGATTGAGTAGAAATCGAAACTACCGGTTTATCGTGCATACAGGTTTTATTCAGGAATACTGGTAGTTTCGAAACCTACTCAGTTGTACTCGAAGGATGAGCTCTAAAATGTTCGTGGAAGACGCACGTTTGCTATACTAATTAAGCCAAGTTGATAGTGTCACCCAACTCTGCTAAGAATCCCAAATGTTTCTTTATTCCTTCATATAACTCTCAGTCGGGTACACATAAACTATGTAAGGCATAAAATCAAATGGAAAAACTGGATTGAAAATAGCAGAAGTCAACTGTCCGAGAAGTATGATTCGAAGAGAAAAGTGGGAAAATTGGACCAGAATTTTTCTCCAACTTGCTAAAATAATGCGAACTTAAAAAGTAGAAGAATAAATTGTTGCTAAATCACAAAAGAAGAAAAAAGCTGCAAATACAAGTTGGGTTTCGAGGGATCTCTTGTTTCATAATTGTTGAGCTTACTTCCATTTCGAGTGAAAGTGTTTGGTGAATAGATTAAAAGGTCAATTTCACCAGAAACGATGACGGATTCCTCGTGAACAGTTGTCGATTGGCTTTACTGGAACATTCATGGTGGCACTGTTTCCGAGGTAATCTCCTTCGATTCCGGTGAAAAGGTTTCTTGACTCCTTAGCTTGAATTTTGTTGTGACGATGATACTTTGCATCGATGATCTTCGTTATATGACAGACGAAAGCTTAGCACCTTTTCACCGAAATCGAAGGAAGTTACCTCGGAAACAGCATTAGCATGAATGCTCCAGTAAGGCCAATCGTCAGCTGGTCAAGAGGAATCCGCCGTCGTCTTCTGGTGGAATCGACCTTCGAATCTCTTCACCCAACACTTTCACTCGAAAAGAAAGTAAGCTCAACAAGAAAAAGGCAGTTTGCTAAAATGCGTCTCAAAAACAGGATAATGGCTTTTTGCAATAAG